GGTAACGTGCCCGGACATTTCACGTGGATCGTAAATCACGTGCCCGGACATTTTTCTTCGCCATGGCTAGGGTACTATTGGGGATATCAGTGACGCAATCAATTCATGGGCGCAGTAGTCGCGAATTCAATTTTTGGGATTTGCGTCAGGATGTTTATAAAACTGATGTTCGAGACACGAAAGGCCGCCGCAAAAGAAATGTAACTGTACATAAATTAGTGATTTCATCATCACAAAACGATCAAATTGAAAATGAACAGCAATCTCATAAAGGCAATTGTTATGTAAAGCGTCAACGTCGACATACATCAAATAAAGTACTCGAAAATATACTTAATTATAATTCTTTCCCCGAAGACATGGCTATTGAAACTTTACGCAAGCTTCAAGATTATAGTCTCGATTGGGTATGCAGCGTATTCGAACATATTGGAAAAATAATCATAACAACAAGCGAAGAAAAACAAATTAATAGACAGGTATTCAAGGGAACGAGAGATCATAATGGTGATATCTACTTTATTCATCTTAATAATTTGTGCTTCATGTCTAATAAGACCCGTTTTGAAAAATTACGTGTAGTATACCAATATCGGCATGAGAAGCTGATGAATTGGTGTTTAAATTTGAAGAGTAAGCATAGAATTTCCTTCACTTATTTATTTATTTATTAATTCATTTTTCTAAAATTTTGGCTTCTTGAACTTATCGAAGAGCAAAAGATGATTCTATGGCACCGTTACATTTTTACATTCATATCGATATAATTAATGTTACTACAAAATTTGTTATTTATTACTTGCATATTTCGAATTGGGAATGGACAAAGTGCGAGCTTTTTAAATCTCTTGTACATCCATTCTAGTTTGAATCAAATCGAAATCTCAAAAAAGTTTAGTAATTTGTTCATTTAAAGAATCTTTAGTTTTATTTTAGTAAAAAAAAAAGCTTATAATTTAGAAATTAACAATAGATGAATATATGTATAATAACGATAGTAATACTATGACATTGAATATTAAGGTTGCATTATGTATTGCAGAAACATATTTGTTGACCGCTATGATAAAAAATGACAACTAACCTGTGCAAGGATTCTGAGGAGTTTATTCTGCACAGACGTATCATTAAAGTAGATATTCAATGAGGCATTAAAAGCGTTATTTACTATGGTTCTGGATTCTTCTTTGGAGATCCAAGGCTCTTCTTCTATAACCTGAAAAATAACAGAAACAGCAGTTATATGATCTGAGGAAGTAGTGAGAAAATTATAGACCTTTTGGTATAATTTGCTAGACATATTGATAAAAAACAGATGTATTCGGTTGTCGTAAATAATGAGCCTTGTTAATATTATACGCAAAGGAATAATCACGGATTTCCATAATTTCGCTATACTGACCTTTTAAATGCTTTGTCCCATTCACGTCTTCTCTAGACTCGAATTCATGTTGGGATAGGAGCTTAAGAAGAATATGCAATGCGCTTTACGCCAAATTTTGGTGTTTGAGAATAAAGGCATGTGGAATGTGCATTGAAGATCTTGACATTTACAAAGACGTTGGGGTTATGCATATATGTACTTTTTTCGCTCGCTCAACCACTTAATACTAAAACTGACAATGTTATATGTTTTCGGTCGGAATAATTAATTTACTGTAGTAGGCCGGAGTCACTTTATTCTGAATTTCTGTTAAAAGCGTTACTTATGAAAAAACTCGAAATATTTTTGGGGGGGTCGATATCTTTGAGAAATTATTTTGTCGCCGACAATTTGAAAGAAATGTAAAGATTCCGAGCAAAAAATAAGTACAAAATATGTAAATGCTATCCATCTAATAGAAATGTTTTTTTTTATAGTAATAGTATTTGATAAAACAGAGAATTTGATGATGATGATGATTAACAAATAGTGTTGTTTGATTTTTACAAAGTACTTATCCATCTTGTCTTTCTATTAACATTGTTCTTATTGTTATTATAGAATCACACAAGTTTCCCGTCGGGTTCTATTATTTCTTACATTATTTATACTTCGATTGTTATTATGATTGTTCGTTCCTGTCCTCCGCCGCGTCCCTGTATTATTGTTGTTATTATTGCTAGTTTGTCTTAGTCCGAAAAAACCAACAACTCCCCCACACAACGACGACGCTCGTTTTCCATTTATCCAATTCAATGATGATGATGAAGGCGAGCTCTGAGAATTATCTTTAATGTATTTTTCTACGACGCCAGAAATAGCTTCCTCGAATACTTTTCGTACATTAACGCCCACGTATGATGAGCATTCGATGTAGGTTCTAGCACAGAGTGCTGATGAGAGTAGCAATGCCTAATAGATTATTAACATTAAATATTATTCCAAATATGAGTTGACAGAATGAATACATATAAAAATGTACCTCTCGCACATCAACAAATTTCTCATCACGCTCTTTCATTCTCTCAATCACTACTGGATCCCCGCGAGTATCTCGTTTTAGACCTAACAAGATAATGGTAGCTGTTGGCGCGTATTGTTGTACTTCAGCAAACCACTTCAATAAAAATAATTCGAATAAATAAATAGCGCAAAATAAAGTGGATAGAATAAAATAGTTACCCGCTGTGTTATATTTTCAAATGACTCGCGTGAATCGACTGAAAATGCCATTAAAACTATGTGTGCACCCGAATATCCCGATTTTCTTTGTGACTGTATATTAAAAAATTGAAAAAACAAAATTCTTTTTAGCATTTGGTTGTTCATTAAATTTCAACGCAATTTGAGGATAAATATTCTGCGCTTACACTAAAATCATCATGTCCTCTATCGATAAGTAAATACATAAATAAATTAGAATCATGTTTTATACACAAAAAAAGCTCCCATTCTAAAAGAGAAGAAAACCACGTACGCCGTATCAACCACCCGTAACTCCACAGCTTCATCACCCATCATTTCAGTTACAAAGTAATCCTCATAAATGAATGGTTTCTAATTAAAAAATAAATTCGAATCAGCTGATAAAATCAGAAAATAATAACAAAACGACATATAATAATAAACTTACATTTTGCTAAATTCGAAAGTTAAAATATGCATAAAAAAAAGTTAAGTTGAATTATTCAATCCTAAGCTCTCACATTTCTCTAGACACTTACTGAAGGTGGTTTGCCAGTAGCATATCGCATGACCAACGAAGTCTTTCCAACTCCAGAGTCACCAACAATGACAAGTTTACGTTTTATACGTTCTATCGAATATGGTACATATGCCATATTGTCTCTGTTCACTCTTTCGATTTATTTATATTGCCGTGTACTTGTCTGTTCTGTTTAAGAGTTTTTTGATACTTATATAGAATATAAAAACCTATTATTTCTTCTATTTAAAGTTTTATGTGTGTCTTCTAAACCACCTGCTTAATAAATACCTAGACAAAATTTTAAGAAATAATTATTTATATTATTGGGTGACTTCATTATTTACTGATTGGATTGGATTAAACATACCCATTTTTATTCATTCTTATTGTTATTAAAGGAATTGTCGCACTATTCTCCTTCTGTATACACCAATAATTTACATTGCATTAAACTTTTTTTATTGGTGTAAACCTTGTTTGCCTTGCTTATTTGCTTGTCAAATGTATGCAAGTATTGGACCTCTCCCCATTTTAAAGTGATGTTCTAGATTCAGATTTGTATGTTACCAATGACCGAAATTTATGATATATCACATGACTGCAGATATCTTCACAACGACCAGAATAATTCATTTGAGACGAATCTCCAAGAATCACCTTTCAATGTATGTGAATGTCAAATCTTTGGGGCATTCATGAATTACGCGCGGATTCAAAGGCATTCAAAGAAAATTGATTTTTTTTCAACTAGTTGTATTATTCGTTGACTAACGATCAAAACCGTTGATTTCTACCGCTGCCTATGGATTACACGAAAGACCTTACAAAATTTCATTGAATTAAGAGAAAATTAAACATTTTTGCTGTGCAATTGATTTAAGGTTTGTAAACTTTGCGAATTTGAATAAATGGCATCGGCATGTTATCATGGCGTTGTCTATTTCATTTTTCATTATCAAATTAATTCTCGATGAAATAGATTGAAACTCACATCATACGTTCATTATGATGAAATTATTAGAATTATTTAGAACAATAATATTAACAACAAAAATAATAACAAAATGGATAATAACGACGATAATTATCACAATACACGTCCACAAAATCCATATGGACCACCTCCATCAGTTTCTGCACACTCATCACCTACACAACACTCGACCTACAGTGATAATAACAACAACAGTAATTACCAAGATAATTACACTAACAGAAACGACAGAAGTCGATCTCGAAGAGATGACACATGGCGCAGGAGTAGAAGTAGAAGCTGGAGTAGGAGCAGTGGCGAGGGTGCTGGTGATGGTGCTAGTAGGGACTATAATAGTAATAAGAGGAGTTATAATGCCCACAATGATAACTATAGCAGAAGTCATGCAAGGCGTAATAGTAATTATCAAGACAGGAGAGATCGTGACAATAACAACAACAGTAATAATACCAATAATAACAACAATAATAATAGAAGAGGAGACAGAGGAGACCATTGGAGTCATGGTCAACGTCATTATTACAATCGCGATAGACAGCATCAACGTTCTTCGTATCGCAACTTAGATAATCACCGTGATCGTCATAGAGATAATTGGCGACCTAACAATGATCGCCAACATCAAAGATCTCATAATTACAATACTAACAATAACAATAATAATGATAATATACACCGGAATCGACGATTTAACGATCGGTGGTATCAAAATCAAAATCATCACAATAATCGAAATTATGATAATAACCGAAATTATGATGATAGTAATAATGATCATGAACATCATAATGTAAATCAGCATCAACATGAACACGAGCATTATTCACATCAGCCACAACAATATCATCAACAACAAATTCATCATGGTCATCATCAACATGGTGGTCTACATTCAACGCAACAACTACCGCCACAACAACCATCCATACATCCGCATTATAGTCAACATCATCATCCTCATCACCAGCAGCAACAGTTATATCAACAACAACAACAACAATATCAACAACATCCAGGTGGTGAGCACACATGGACAAGTGATCTGATTAGTAATAATGTATCACAACACCATCAACCTCCACCACCTGGAACAACAAATTTATTATCACAAAGTCATAATTATTTAGTTCACGGACAATTACCACATTTACAACAACATAATATCCAAAATCCGAATGGACCTCCTGGTGCACCGCCTAATCTACAAAATCAATTATTCTCAGAACAGCCACCGCTTCCTCCTCACCTTCAACATCCAGCTCCCTTTCAGGGTCAATTACCTCCTCGGATAGCACCTTCGTGGGATCAACGTTCTAATACATATCGATCACAAATACTTAATAATACAAATATCGGCAATAGTAACTTTTCATATCCGCCAGAATCATATCAGTCATATCCGCCTCAATTACCATTCATGACTGGTATTCAGTCTACTAATACTCATTACACGTACGAAAACAAGCAACAATCTGCTCAATTTGCCCAGTATCCACCTCAGTCTCAATTCACGCATCTTAATCAATCATATCTTCAAGATCAACTTCCGCCAGCATCCAGTTATCCTCATATGCCTTCTCAAATAACTGTGGATGCTCCAGCATACATGCCAGAGAAATTAGCGGAAAATACAATAGAAACAAAACTTGATACGTCTCCTATTCAAGCAACTCCTTTGATGAATAGACCGACCGAACTGTATGAAAAATTGGGACAGGTAGGTGAAGGAACTTTTGGTAAAGTGTATAAAGCACGAAATCGAGAAACTGGCAGTATTGTAGCGTTGAAGAAAATCAGAATGGAGGCGGAAAAGGAAGGGGTAAGTAGCTTATCAATGGTGTTATTAATATTAATTGTTCCTTAGATGAATAATCCAAAAAAAGATTAATAATAATTTTTTATAGTTCCCTTTGACAGCGTTAAGAGAGATAAAGCTACTTCAATCGCTCAGAAATGACCATATTGTGACGCTGTTAGAGATAATGGTAACAAGCGGTAAGTTATACATATTTTTTGTCAATTCTAAATTTATTAAACTCTTAATATTATATTTATAGGAGTCGTATATATGGTATTCGAGTACATGGACCACGACCTCACGGGAGTGCTAGCGAATCCTCAAATAAAGTTCGAAGTACAACACATAAAATGCCTAATGAAACAATTGCTGGAAGGTTTAGTCGTGCTGCACGAACGAGGGATCTTACACAGGGACATTAAAGGTAAATAATATTTTTGATAAACGATAATACTAAGCTAATATTAAAAATAAATAAAACTTGATAGGATCAAATCTCCTGCTGAACAACCGTGGTCAATTAAAATTGGGCGACTTCGGGCTGGCGCGTAAATACGACAACAGACGCCAGCAAGACTATACGAATAGGGTGGTAACCTTGTGGTACCGCCCACCTGAGTTATGCTTGGGGGCGACGGAGTATGGGCCGGAAGTGGATATGTGGAGTGCAGGGTAAATATTATAAATATTTTTTACTCAAACCTCGTTATAGTGAAGACATCGGGGTAAGGGAAAAAATCTTCGCTATAGCTTATATCGAGAGAATATTATATAACTTCACTATATCGAGTTGAAGTTTATTAATGATTCTAAAAAAATCTTCACTACAGCTTTATTATTAATTTGCTAATTATTGAAATAATTATCTAATAGGTGTATTCTCATGGAGTTGTTTACACGCAAGCCACTCTTCCAAGGGGTGGATGAGCTCACTCAGCTGGAAAATATTTTCCAACTGCTGGGTTCGCCATCTCCTGAAGAGTGGCCACATGTGGTGGAGTTGCCGTGGTACGACTTGATGACACCTGCGACGCGGTGGGCGCCGAAACTGCAAGAAAAATTTGAGGGGTTAATTGATTCAATTAATTAGTGCCTTATTTATAATTTTCTATCCCGGAACAATTAAATTCATATTTCGTTTTTTAATATGGATATAGGGTCCTAACTGCCGCAGCTATGGAGCTGGCGGAAGCTCTGTTATCCTTGAATCCCGAAAACCGTCCCACGGCTCGGAAAGCTTTGAATTTCAGCTTCTTCACAGAAGAAATGCCTACGGCATGCTCCCTGGAAGAGTTAGTATTTATTTATTAAACATTTAATGTGCATCTTCTATACACAAGAAACAAGTTCTAATTGTACTTTTTATAGGTTGCCAGAAATTCAAGGCGACTGGCACGAATACGAGTCTAAGCAACGTAAACGAGGTGCCGGGAACTGGGCGGTGGGTGAATCGAGGGAGAAGACCTAATTCATGTATAGTAAATATGGTTTAATGAATAATTGTTGTTGACGTATGTGTTCTTTTTTAACGTTGTTTACGTGATTTGCTGTTTATTTAGCAGAATAAGTTCTATCGGTAAAATGCACCGACATGTTATTCTCTATCTTGTCACGTGTAAATATGAATCATCATCATCATAATCATCATAACAAATCAAAACAATAGTTAGCTTAACATTAATATCGTCAATGATTTGAGTGGCAATATTTTGTTCCAATTGAGTAGTCAATTCAGCTAATTTAGCTGGGACTGTCTAAACGTTCCAAAAATCTGAAACCGACAAGATCTTTTTCGAGCAAATGCCCGTCTGCAAGAAATTCAAGCCTTAAAAAGGGAAAACTTACGACAAAGACAGATGGAACTCGATCGATTAAAAAGAAAAAACAGAATCCTTGGAGAGGCTGTTAATGAATTTAAAAAGATTCATTTGGGATCTCATACATATGCTAGAAACCAATATTAAATGCGGTGCAACTGGGAACTGATAAATATGGTTATTCTACTAAATTATCAATTTAGAATTCTAAAATCAAAGAGAAATTATCCTTATTACTAAATTTTGAAAGTCAACAATAGATCTTCAAGAATATATTTTCTGAACATTGAGATGTAATCAAAAAAAAACAATATTGGCAAAATACATATACAAAACGAGACAGTATAAGATATCCAATTTTAATTGTTTTACAAAAAGTGTTATAACTTTTGAATAAATTGCTAAATAAAAAAACCCTTTTTCAAATATATTTCTGAAAGAGAAATTTTTTGATTTTTATTTTTATACAAAGTCTTATAATTTTTGAACCAAGAATTAAAATAAAAAATTTCTCTTACAACTTGATAAGAAAATTTTTTTGATTTGTTTTGATTTTAAAGAAATTATAAAATTTTTAGTTTTATAAAATTGATACTGAAATATAATATAATTATTTAATTAACTAGTATTAAATCATATAATAAAGTATTACTATATAATAACTATCAAAACTTGATATTTCTATAAAAGAATGGATATTGTTATATATTTTTTATTAATTGTAAAATTGACTAATAAATGTGAACTGGGATTGAAAAAGAAAATTAAGCAAATATAAGAATAATAAAAAAAATATATCTAAGTTCTATGTTAACTTTTACTAAAATTATATAGTTTAAAAGAAAGATAAATATAGAAAGTCAAGATAATAAAAATTTAATTATACTAACTAAACAAGATTATTTAATTAATAAATAAAGTTCTAACTAGTGTTCCTATGAACCGAACCGAACCAGACTTTTGTCCGAGTTCGAGTTCGGTTCGAAATTCGAACCGAACTCGAACCGGACTTTGGCTTGAGTTCAAGAAAGGTTCGAAGTT